TTGAGACTAATGCTAACACACTGTAATATTACACTAACATGCAAAATGTAAACTACCTGTAACTAACTATACAAGATATCAAACATGCTAAATGTTATATGCTAAATACCAACACGTTAACTGTGCACAAGTTAGCATTTGGAAGGTAGCATATTAAGAGCAGTTTTGAACCCGGCGGCTTTATAAGATAAGATATGCTTTAATGTGCCTGTAGGGAATTGTTTCTGCACTCCATCCTACAGTTTCACAGACAGTTGCACATACACATTCACACCTTCTGACACTGGCAGCATATTGCACAAGCCCCATAGCCAACATCCTACATTACCTGTTAGTGTTGAGAATCCCACTGCGCATGGACAGGAATGTCTATCTTGTTTATAAGAGTTCAGCAGGTAAGAGCTGGAATGTGAGTTGGATCAGACAGTATTTTCTGTTCCTGTCAGATAATAGACTTAGATTTACTGAAGTATGTTCTTTATCACCCATAACTTTTACTGCAGTAAACCAGTACCAGACGAGCAGTCTCGTCACCATACCAGACGGTTGTCATAGCAGTGCTGCTGCCAGAAGTGGCAGTGGCATTCACAGTACTTGGTGTGTATATGGTGAGTGCAAACACAGATCGTCATCTGTCTCTTTCAGGGCTGGCTGGTCTAGACGCCCGCTCTAGTGGCAGGATGGGTAGTAGAGCCATGGTTTACTACATGTCCACCACTGTAATCGCTGCAATCCTTGGGGTCATCCTGGTGTTGGGAATCCACCCGGGGAACCCCAAACTGAGGGGAGGCACTTCGAGCTCAGCCCCCAAGAACCAGGAGGTCAACAGTCTGGATGCCTTCCTCGACCTGATCAGAAACCTCTTTCCTGAGAACCTGGTGCAGTCCTGCTTCCAACAGGTAGTCTCAGCATCTGAAACATATGTCTTTGGAACTGTTATTGATCTGGTTCTTTATTTGTGCACATTATGGGGTTGTATGCATCACAATACAAATATAACAAACATGGGATAAAAACCTGAAAGGGCAAATTGCAGGTCTTTAATAGAAATGAGCTATTTGTCATTGCTTTCCGTTTTTGGTGTGTCAAGCTATAAATCCAGTAGGGTAATTAAATCTGCATCATTGCAGCTTAAGGTAATGCTACCTAACCTACACTGAAAAACAGCTTTATGTGAAAGGATTTCAACTATTAGTTTTAGTGGAAACTTTGAGCATCTACAATTCCATGATTACTAAACTTTGTGCTGATGAAGATCATGTGATGTGATCTCAAGCAGTGATGCCAACAGCTCTAAACAGCCACTGAATGGACCCTGAGGTGAGATTGGTTCATCAAAAATTATAATCCAGATTGTAATATTTTAAAGTTTATTAGCATTAGGTGAACCCTGAAAAAGCCAAAGTTGAAGTCATTAGTCTGTACAAGGTATTAAGTGAGCAGTCTGACAGAATGAAAGAACTACAGAGAGCTGTTAACGACCGGTGTGGTTCTCTAGAGATTCTAGTTGTCCTCCAAACTCCATGCACAATGTTTTTACTGCGTGTGTCAGGGGTGCATGAAAGCATGATTTCACTCAAAGGGTTTAGGCTACAAAAGGACTAAAAGGCCAAGGATTCCTTCTGTCCATGAATAGTCCTAGAGGAGTAACCATTGAAGTCTAATTATCCAGTTAAAGGTTAAGTTTTAATTAATGCAAATACAAGCAAAGCTCTGCAAATAAAATGAAAAATCAGAAACTATCTGCATGTATATATATAAAAATAAGATCGTAATTTCCCATCTGAACACCCTGTTACAATAATGGTCCGTTGGCTAATGGCGGGCATGATGAGTCAGCAGACGACTGCTGTTCATCCCAGCTGATCATTTGTAACTGATAATCCAAGTCTCAATCATAATGCGACAGTTGCCTTCTTCTGTCCAAATCCTGTTTGTTTTTTTTCCCACTTCTCTCTGTTATGCGTGTGTGTCTGAATGATTAGAAGTAGTTGTCTGTGTTGGACTGGGTGAGGGTCATGCCTTCTGTCACCATTAAGCTTTTTACATCTGTAACCCTGCATCCTTACTTACCACAGATAGGCATCTGCTGGTGGACAGGGAGCACTGCTGAGCACCAGCTTATAGACTCCTGCTCTAACAACTTCTCTCTGCAGTATTCTCAGTTTCTTCCCTTTCTGCACATCACTCTCTTTTCTGTCCACATCTCTATTTTACTGCTTCTTTTGTCTGCACTTATCAGAGATTCATTGAAGCCATAAAAGGCATAATTGCTTTTGCAGGAAGGGACTCGTCCTTCCCCTTTCAACCTTCTTGTATCCTTTTTTTCCCCTTTGTTGTCTTTATGTGAGAATCTCTTGTTTTGCCTTTTCCTTAAACACAAATCTGAGTTTATTGCCCCGCAGCCAAGCTTTTGTGTGCTCACACACAGCATGACTCACACAATCAGGGTTTTGCTGTGGTGTCAGTTCGGTTATAAACTGAACCCCCTGATCAATGTGAATGCCATTCTGTCCTCCCTTCAGGTTCAGACGGTGCTGAAAAAGGTGCCAGTTGCAGCACCAAACCAAACTGAGCCCATCTTAGTGAACAGGAAGAAACTGGAATACAAATGGGGCATGAACGTCCTCGGTGAGTTGATGACCGAGCTGATTATTTGTTGCTTTACATAAAGAACTATGGTACTTTATTCATGTTGCAGTTTCCAGTGACACACTGCTTTGTGTCTTCCTCAAGGTTTGATTGGCTTCTTCATCACCTTTGGGATCTGCATGGGCAGGATGGGCGAGCGAGGGAAGGTCATGTGCGACTTCTTCAACGTCCTCAACGAGATTATAATGACGATGGTCTCCATGATCATGTGGTCAGTGTCTTGTTTTCCTCCGCGTGCATTTGTGAGTTTGCAAGCATGTGCAACATGTGTCTCTGTTTTTGCTCATGTGGGCCAACGGCTGCATTGCTTTGACATTCTGGAGATACCACACACAGAGTGTCAGTGACAGTGATGAATAAGGCGAAGATTGTGTATGTGAGACAAACTGTGGGAATGAGCAACAGTGTCGGACGTCAAAGACTGAGTAGGAGAGAATGGAAGAGGAAAAGGGAGAAAGTGTGTTAGTGAAGGACATGGACAGATGGAAAGAGAAAGAGAGAGGGTTTCCCTGGCACATGCTGGAGTCTGTGGTATGCTGGAGAGTAGCAGGGGCCGGGGCCCGGAACAATGTTGTGGGCTCCCAGGGGAGCCGAGGTGGAAGATCTCCAAAATGTAATGGATCCACCGACGGCAGAGGAGCCACTTGGCAGCAGAGCAGAAAGCAGATGCGGGTGGGAGGGACAGCGGGACGTGGAAAGATGCGTGTGAGAGCATGTCTTCAGAGAGCAGTGCACGCCTTGAGGCTTCGCAGAACCCCAGCTAGTCACACAGAGAAACAGAGTATAGTGGCACTCAGAGCAGGGACGGGAAGGGAGGGGAAGGGGAGAGCTGGGTAGGCGGTTGGAAGACAAACAGCAAGATGCTTGTCTTCCAGCTCTCCTAGGCCATCTACATGTGCAGCTGGACACCAAAGGAATTGTGTCCTTGTTCGTATCACTCACACAGTATAAACAGATTACTCATGGGCCTATAGAGCCAGCCAAACACGGAGTCCAGTGTATACAAAAACACGTATCATACAAGGAACACATCTATCAAATCATATACGTGGCGTGTTCCACCAAACAACTGTCACTAAATGCCAGGCTCGGGGTTCAGCAGGCAGCTGACCTGGGAGAGCAGGCCACTGTCGTGATGGGACCTGCTTTAACTCGGACTGGAGGATGGTTTAAAGTGAACACCACTTTAATTCATACGTCCCACAGCGGTCCTTATTCATCAGCAGGAACAACTGCACTTCAAAGCTGGAAACTAGAGATCCTGTCATCTCCTCTCGTGGTTGAAAACTGCTCCTTTGAAAGTAAATGAAGATTGATTAGGTGTTTGCCTGACATTTCAAAGACAAAATTGAAATAATGAATTGTTTTTTTTTTTTTTGGCTTGCATCCATGTTCCAGGTAACACGCTTGTATGGTTATAGTTATTTTCTTTTTTTTCATGTTTGATTAATTTTCTTTTCTTTCTCAGAGCCTAAGGTGATATTTTCAAATACCTTGTTTGGTAACCCAAACATATTAACGTTACAAAAAATCTTTACATAAGGGAATGTCAGTTAAAAGACAGATGATTTAGTAATTCTCTATCTCTACCTCAATGAAAAGACGAAGGTTAGGTTAATTTGAAATACATTAGAGCTGCGACAATTAGTTGATTAATTGATTAACAGAAACTGATACATGAAAAAAAAAAGATTGTATATCTCATTATAATGACTAACATTATCTCTTTTTTTCAACACATTAGTGGAGGTAAGCTTCCATTAGTTGAAGGCCTAAAATACATCATGTTTATGTTCCTCAAGAATCATATAAGGCAAGGCAATGTGATTTTATACCACAAAAAATACAGCCGATAAAAAAGCAAGAAATCATTTACAAATGATTAAAAAAACAAAAAATAAATATGTATTGACTTATGCTCTGGCCTGATGCAATGATCAAAAGAAAGAAAAATATAAATATAAGTATATAAACATACACTAATTCGGCTTTAAAAAGGTCATAAAGAATAATAGAAAGTAAATCAGTCGATTCCATTTCAACTCTGTTTCTTTCTGACTCTGTATTCAGGTACTCTCCTGTCGGCATTGCCTCTCTGATTGCGGGGAAGATTGCGGCCATCGGAGACCTGGAGGTGGTGGCCAGGCAACTGGGTATGTACATGGTGACCGTCATCGTGGGCCTGGTGATCCATGGCGGCTTGATCCTACCTGCTATTTTCTTCGTCATCACAAGAAAAAACCCCTTCACTTTCTACTCTGGAATCTTCCAGGCTTGGATCACAGCTCTGGGCACCGCTAGCAGGTACGACAGCCTGCAGGAAGTGTGTGTGTGTCTGTGTAGTGGTTCTGTGTTTGGGCATGTGTTAACACATGTGTGTCACATGTTTCCTTTACAACATCTATCCCTCAGCAGCTGCTGTAGTTGCTTTGATTGATCGGCGTAGCCGGCTACTCTCTTTCTAGCTATTTGGGTTAAATCTGAAAGGGCTAAAGGCAAAATTCTGTTTTTACATGAATGAGCTCACAAATCAGGACAGCAGAGCCAAATGTGTGTAAGCACAGGCTATCATAGACAAGTCCATGTCAGACAGATTCTGCGTTGTAAATGTCTAAGCCTTTGGATTAGTTGTCACCAGCCAAACAGACCCCACTGTATCCTGCCTGGCTTGGCTTGGCTCGGCCTGCCTGGGATTCTGCATTGCTGCTGAAACCAACTGTCATTTTGGCACATTACTGAGGCTTTAGTGAATATGTGTAATCCTATCATCGTTTTCTCTAATTATATTATGACCCGAGCTTAGCAGGGCCGGGAATCAAATTCCTTTAATTCACATGTCGGAGGATTGCAACAGTGGCCGACACCAGCTGTCAGGAGGAGGCTGTCAGCCGACTCAAATTTCTACTGATTTTTTTTTCTTTACCCCCCTCACCTCCCTCCTCACCTCTGCACTTTTGTTTTCACCACCTGTCTACCTATTTTATGTCCTTCGGCAGATACTTTGCTCCTGCTCTTTGTACATCTGCACCTTTTTTCTTCTAAATTGCCATCTTGTGGGGCCTACTTCTCTCAGTGCAGGGACGTTACCCGTCACCTTCCGCTGCCTGGAGGAAAATCTGAAGATTGATAAGCGTGTGACTCGCTTCGTGCTGCCCATTGGCGCCACTATTAATATGGACGGCACTGCACTGTATGAGGCAGTGGCAGCCATCTTTATCGCCCAGATGAATGATATCTCGCTGGATGCCGGGCAGATTATGACCGTCAGGTAAGGCACATGGTGGATGGCCTCTGCACACATGCGTTGTGATGTTACCTTACAAATGGAAGTGGTTGGATTGGTGAGACTTTAACAGACACCATAAATAAGTGGTTCCAGAATCTATGAATATTTACATACAAACATACGTTGTTTACTTTCCCATTATTGGCTCCTAAACTAGTTTTGATGTCAAACAATCATCTCGTACATACAGATTTAAGGTGAGCACAGAGAAACCTTCCTACTTCAGCAGATGATTGTGAAAACATCCTTCTAGTGCCAAACTCTGCACATACATCATTCTGCACAGTAAAGCTCAAACATCAAAGTGAAGGAACTATTAGCAAAACACATTTTTGGATGTAGGAGGACTGTTCAGAATCTTTATTAACATCTACTAAGTGGCTCTAAGCTGAAGGAGGCAGACGGCCATCCACTTCAAGTTGGGGGGTGTTTCACGTTTCCTTGCCACTGTCGCCAAGTGCTTGCTCATGGTAGGAATTGTTGGGTCTCTGTAAATAATTTTATAAGGAGTACGTTCTATATATATGAAAAGTGTCCTGAGATAACCTCTGCAATGAGTTGGCGCAATACCAATAACATTTAATTAAAATTTAAACGAATTTAAAGGACCACATGCTGCGTTCTAGTTGTAACTTAACTTAAAAAATACTTAACTTAACTGTAAATACTCTGTAAAAGTGAGAAAATAAGACTATAAACAAAATTATCATATGTAGGTTTGAGGCAGAGATGAGCGTCAGCCTAAAACTCTGCATGAATGCAGTTAGAAAGTAGTGAGGTATTCATTGCTCATTTCTGAGGTTTTAGCAAAACATTTATGTCTGATTGGAAACAGTCTACTTGGATCGGACTCAGCCTGTTGTGGCCATGGGTTGCATATGATGCTCAGCACTTTGAAGTTGTTTATTGTATGTCTTTCATCAACAGCTGTTTTCCACCAAATTCCAAAATTGAATCGTGAAAAGTTATGTATTACAGTTATATCATGTGTGGTGAAATTGTTCTAAAATAAGATCCATATGTGGTGTGTAAATCTCTTGGACGTTCCACTTAATCTCCCAACCCCTAACTGTGGGATGACAATTAGCGCTACAGTTGTTGGAAAACAATTAAGATGTAAAGCAGAGCTCTGAGATCAGACAAACAGCGTCATGCAGTAAACATCACAGTTTAGAACAGTGTCCAAACTGGCCTGCAGTCACATCTGGGACCAACATGAACTGATAATTCCTCTAATTGCAGACATGTCATGACAAGCAACATTCTTTTGAGTATTAAAGATTTAACCCTCAAAAGAAGATACATTAAGAGATTTTGTTTTGTTGTGGATGGAAGAACGGCTGTAAACAACAAACTTCTTTCTTCTTCAGATGCCAATTTCATACAAAGGTTTGTGCGTATGATGTGGTCAACTTAACACATGTAAATACCAGGTTGACCTGGTTCTGCAACTGTAAACCGCAAAATTATACCACATCTGTGAAAAAACCACAAATCCATGTTTTAAACAAGGTTGGCAACCTTGAGAGATGTCAAGTCACATTCTGCGATTATCTGCACGTATCTTTGTAATGAAGGATTTGAAATATCTACTGTAATGTTGCTGTAACTCTGCATTAAATCTACATTAACCCTCTAATCCAATAGATGAATCCGGGTTGAGGGCGGACGTAAAACAAGCCATC